GTCCATACAATCGTCAAGATGGTCCAACGGTTTCTTCAACAAAATAGACATATCAGTATCATGGAAGTTCCAAACTGGTGATAACAACGCTTGTTGCTTATGCGTGAGAGAGTCTACTGACTTTTGCAGCAATACCGATTGAAATTGGAACCCGAGTATCAACGCTCTTTGGATGTCATCTTCGTTTGCTCGATGATCTTGGGGTGTTTTTATTCCAAGTGCATTGTGCAAACAGTTGTAGACATGTCTGATTTCCCTCTTATCTTCTTTTGTAAATGGGTCTTTCTTCAACGTCCTTTTGACACCTTGTTTGATCAAACAATTGTAGGCGTTGATAAGTGTAAAGAAATCAGATTGTTCAGAAACCATTGATCTATCAAACGAGTCCTGTGATATGAAATTTGCCAATGCGTTGGGGTTCATGGCTATCAAAATAGAGGTTATACTTAAAAGCTCACCAACGCAATTGAAAGAGCTTGAATGAAGTAACGATAGAAGCAGTGAGATCCGTGGTAGATGCGAAGAAAATTGGAGCTTCGTGAGCCTCTGAGCAAGTTCAGTAGAAGTATAACCATCACCAGTTATCCTTATTAGTCCTAAATAGCACATCTGATTGAGGCAATTGGTGAATGAGTCTGTTTCTGGTGGTGATAAGAACTGCAACTCTGTGAACTTCACATTGAGCTTTATCGACATCAGTATATACGGAATCAATGACCTATGTTGTATTGCTAGGAACCAATCACTTACCGAGTCCCTCTGTTGTAGATTAAAGTATTTTGACCCTTCCATGTGTAAAATTGATATATGTTGTTGTATCCTGTTGTTATTCGTTATATGCACTTGTTCATAATCAATACCATTAGGATCTGTTTTCCTAACCGTGATAAGTCCATAATCCACAATGTACTTCACTCTGTGGTTGTTATCTAGGAAGAAGTGGGAATCTGATGATATGATAATCCTTTTGGAATGTCCCTTTATAGTATACTCCTTGAGATCTGTCAGTAGCGAGTACTTCCCCTGCGGCATCGAATCTCTCATGACATGTGATAGCCTGGCGACTTCAAATCTCGACGAGGTTACTATGAGAATATCCAGCTCCTCATGGTCCATCTCGAGCAGCTGTTTGGCCACATTCATGCATTCGATATCTAGTTTCACGGAGCCATTCACTGCGAAGTACGTTTCAATACTCGGCTGACCAATGAGGTCAAGTGTACTCGTGACATATCCAATCCTTGCAAAGAAATCTTTGTATTTAGACACTTGGAACGAGCTCCTCAACGGTATAACCAGCTTTGTCTGTAGCTTGACTTCGCTGATGAATGCCATAAACATATCCGAGTTCAACGTTCTATCATCGACACCATCCAGCTGTATGAAGTCAAACCGTTCCAGCTCTTGCCGGTCATTGGCCAGGTAATGAAGTGCAACGTCGTATGTGACCCACACCGACCCACTGGACAGCTGTGATGGGAATCTTGAGTTATATATCGTATTGTAATACGGTAGATCCTTGAACCACAGGGAGCACCGAACATCATCGCTCACCTTCAAGGTCATGGTGTCCGAGACCTTTAGCAGAAACCTGGTCACCACACTTGAGCCAATGGATGGGATGAGAATCACGTCATTGTCTTCAAGACACTGGAACACCCTTTGACATTCATCTTCCAGCACGGTCAGACGGCTACTTCCCATCTTCTCATCGCTGACTACTGCTTGTGTTGTTAAGTTGAAAACGCTCTGTTGATGTTGTTCTGTTATGTGAACCCGTTTCCGTAGCAACGCCAGACAGGAAGAAAAAGAAAAAGAAATAAACCACGGCCGGGTAACAAAAGCGATGACCTCGCGAAAATTCCCCCTTTGGGTTTATTTTTTTCTTCCCTTTTTCCCTTTTTAAAGGGCACAAAAAATTTTTTCCTCTTCTTTCCATCCACAAAAACATTTCCCACATCAACAACATCGCCCAGGTGCTACAAACAAGTAAACAAACATACTGAATACGATGTCTTACAACGGCGGTAACGATAGACAAGGCTACAACTCTGGCTACCAAAGCAGAGGTGGCGACTACAGAGGCGAGAGAAACTCTGACAGAAACTTTGGCTACAGAAACGATGATAGAAGAGGCGGCTTTGGCGGCAGAGGTGGTGGCCGTGGCGGGTATGGTGGTGGTCGTGGCGGATACGACGACAGAATGGGACAACTCGGTGACAACTTGCAACCGCAAGATTTCGACCTGAGCACCTTGCCAAAGTTCGAGAAGAACTTTTACAAGGAGGATCCAGCGGTGACTGCCCGTTCGCAACAGGAGGTTGATGCCTTCAGAGCCGAGCACGATATGAAGTGCGACGGTACTGACATTCCAAAGCCAATTGAGTCATTTGAGGAGACTGGTTTCCCTGACTACGTTTTGAGCGAGGTTAAGGCTCAAGGTTTCCCAAAGCCAACTGCCATTCAGTGTCAAGGTTGGCCAATGGCCCTTTCTGGTCGTGATATGATTGGTATCGCCGCCACTGGTTCCGGTAAGACTTTGTCGTACTGCTTGCCAGGTATTGTCCACATCAACGCTCAGCCTCCTTTGAGTAGAGGTGACGGTCCAATTGTGCTTGTGTTGGCCCCAACAAGAGAGTTGGCTGTCCAAATTCAAACCGAATGTTCCAAGTTTGGTAGATCCTCAAGAATCAGAAACACCTGTGTCTACGGTGGTGTTCCAAAGGGTCAACAGATTAGAGATTTGGCTAGAGGTTCTGAAATCTGTATTGCAACTCCAGGTAGATTGATTGACATGTTGGAGTCTGGTAAGACCAACTTGAGAAGAGTCACCTACTTGGTTTTGGATGAGGCTGATAGAATGTTGGATATGGGTTTCGAGCCACAGATTAGAAAGATCATTGACCAGATTAGACCTGACCGTCAAACTCTTATGTGGTCTGCTACCTGGCCAAAGGAGGTTCAATCATTGGCTCATGATTACTTGAAGGATTACATTCAAGTCACCGTGGGTTCCTTGGAATTGGCTGCTTCCCATACAATTACACAAATCGTGGAGGTTCTCTCTGAGTACGAGAAGAGAGACCGTCTCTTGAAGCACTTGGAAACCGCTATGGAGGACAAATCTTCAAAGATCCTTGTCTTTGCATCCACTAAGAGAACTTGTGATGAAATCACAAGATTCCTCAGAGATGATGGCTGGCCAGCTTTGGCTATCCACGGTGACAAGCAACAACAAGAACGTGATTGGGTCTTGAACGAGTTTAGAACCGGCAGAAACCCAATTATGATTGCCACAGACGTTGCAGCACGTGGTATTGGTAAGTTTTCTTTTCCTTTCTTTCCCCTTAAATTATCATCTTCATTTCTTTGATACCTTTTGATACCCAAGTTTACACTTTTTACTACTGACTATACTAAAGAATATGGGACGCTCTAATGGAACTGGTTTCCCTCTTAGGCTGTCCCCAATGTTCAAGATTTTGATGCTTGTTACTTTATGTTTCCTACAACTGGCTTTGTTGGAAATGCCTAATTCAGTGAGAAGTGATGTGATGTCTTCGTGGTGCTAGTTATAGCTATACGATGAAGTTTTTAGCGAGTGGACAATGTGTGTTTTTCTTTGCTCCTTGTGTGTTACTTGGTTCTCTTGAACGCGCAGAGCTTAAAAGAAAAATATTATGTCTTGAGAAGATCAAAGCATGCTCTTGTTTTAGCAAATGACGATCAGAATGTCCTACGATGGGTTCTTATTTCGTTAGCGATAATGATGATTTTTGTGATTCTGAATAGATGGTGGTATCATCTAAGGGGGATTTCCCGATACAGAATCAAAATCTAATCTACTATTGTGCTTTCTTCTTCTTTTCTGATGATGATGAACTAAATGGATCATATATCCCTCTTTAGTTTCGACAATCATCAGTGCATCCTCTCTACAGTCTTCGTCTATAGCTCTAAATACATCGATGCTCATTGCACGGAAATGTCAGTAGTCGACTGTAAAGGAAATGAAACATTTGATGTCAAGATTTTTCAATCAAAGGATCGGGATGATGGTTGATTTCTCTCTATCCCCATATACAACAGGAAATACTAACACACAACTTATAGATGTTAAGGGTATTAACTACGTCATCAACTTTGACATGCCAGGTAACATTGAGGATTACGTTCACAGAATTGGTCGTACTGGTCGTGCTGGTACAAAGGGTACGTCTGTCTCCTTCTTTACTGATGCTAACTCCAAGCTTGGTAACAACTTGATCAAGATCTTGAGAGAGGCCAACCAAACCATTCCAGAACCATTGATGTCCTACCAAAGAGGTGGCTTCGGTGGCGGTCATCCACGTTATGGTGGAGGCCGTGGTTACGGTAGAGGCCGTGGCAGAGGTCGCGGTGGTTACGGTGGTGGTAGAGGCCGTGGTGGTTACGGTGGTAACAACTACAGCAACGGATACTAAATGTTGTGATTTCACTTATGAATGGGGTTATTTGTTCTCAACTGCCAATATAAAATTGCGCGGAGTATATTAATAGACAGATTTGCTAGTTAATAGTTTCTATGGTTTTTGATAGTAATGGTAAGGTTGTAGTAATTTCAACGCATCAAGATGTCCATCTACAAGAAAACACTCTATGGCCATAGCACTCTCCAGTTCTATACTGGAGAAAAGACTTCTATCTGTTAAAATACAACCAGTTTTTGTAGCTGTTCCATAAAGCTCTGCAAGTTGACATCGTCGGTGAGAATAGTAGCACCTGTGTCTCCCAAGTTTGCACTGTTGTAGGTCTTTGTAGGGTTTAATTTTGAATAGAGAAATCTTGCCTGTGAACCACCATCTTCTGTATCGATAAATCTAGGTAGTGGGAATCTATCCACCAATAATGACGCTGCTTCGATACGAGGCTGTTCCAAAAATTCTTTGAAAGACTCGTACTCTGGATCGTCTTGATAGCCGGCTTGTCTCCACGCAGCCACTGTTGCGCCATGGAAGATAAGGATATGGAAGAATGTATCCAACAACAGAATACGTTCTGGTTGGATGGATAGGGAGTCCAATAGGACAGGTTCACCTTCCTCTGCGCCCTGTTCAAAGGCCATGAGCGTTGGCTGGATCATAATCAGTGAGTTGTTTGTATCTTCTGTGTTGAAAACGTGTCTGTAAAATGCAGTTTCATCAGGTGAATTGTTGAACAGTTGTAAGAACTGTGATCTTCTTAAATGGTACATAAACTGTGGGAACAGTGTAAACTGTGATGGACAACGGAAACTGGCCGGATCACCCTTGTGATATTCTGCAAAGGATTTCATCAGCCCTGTTAGTGTTTGATCTATCCACTGAATAACGTCTGCAACATCCTCTCTAAGTACTTTGTTTATTGCCATACGAGCAACCAACACTGCTGCAGCTTCTTGGTCAAAGGACCATGCCAAGTCTACAGCGTTCATTGGTTTTCTCACAGTTGTCACTTTTAACCTTGTCGTGGTATCTGGATGATAGTAGTACGTTATGAATTGTATGGTTGCGTATTCAACCTGTCCATAAGCATCCCTATCCTGTCCATTTTCACAATCAAAGATCACGGCATAAGTGTTATTGGGTCTTAAACTGGACAGTTTCAGGGAGCTTGTGCCGGAGATTCCTACTTTATTCGATTTTGAAACAAAGTGATCGTCTCTGTTTAGTGAGATACCGTGACCCAAGAATCCAGAGATGCGCAAATGCTTTGAAGTTTTCACCTCAAGTGTTGAGTTCAATCCCATGGCCAGTTGATCATTATGGTCCGTTTGGAGGAACCTCTGTAATGACTGCTTAAAAATAGACGTAGTGAACGAATCTGACAGGACAATAACACCACCTGTTTCATCGCACAATTCCTCCATTTCTAAGAGACCAACTTGGTCATAGGCTCCTATGAAGATATTCACCACTGTACCATTCTCCGTGCACTCATGTGCTAGTTTTTTGTAATAAGCCTTTGCAGCGTTGTAGTGCTTTGCCTCTTTAGCTTCGATCAAGTGATGCGATCTAATTGGTTCCTTGAACTTTTGGCCAACAATCAATCCAGGGCCATAAGTACACGGGCCACCATTGAACAGTAGGATATGTGCACCACGTTTGCGGCAAGCAGCTCTTAGCAAACTTGATGCCACAGCCAACGCAGTTCCAGTACATCTCAACTGACGATCTGAGGGTTTGTATCTCCATGAGTCACGTTTTAAGCCCTCGATGATCAATTCGAAGCTGTACTCTGCCATTGCAGCCGGCTGGACAAACTTTTGCGCCGTTGAATTGGCCAGGTGAGGGTTGTGCAACTTTGAAGACAGGAATCCCAAGTTACGACAGATCTCCTCGTGTGTATATGTTCTCTTACCGTTGAAAGCGTATGAGCACATCCCATCGGACTCCAATTCGAACAGTCTGACGTCTTTGCCGTACGCTATGATCGACACAGCAGCATCTGGAGGAATCAGATTGATAGTCACCATGATACTTTCACGCAGGGCCTCGAAGTCGTCAGCACTGACACAGGTATCGATGACAAATACAAAGACAGGGCCGCCGCTCGCATTTGTGCGTGGCATGATATACTCCAACGTTGTACTCTGTGGATCGCACACGGTCGCCAAGTGCTCAGTATACGTGGCTGGCAGTGGGTTTGGGCTGTAACAAACCGGACATATCCAGGTGTTACCGTTGATCTGGGCATATGGGTTCAGCACAGCACCACACGGCTTACGGCACACCACCGGGTCCGCAGTCACAGTAGGCAGGTCGTCTCGAGGTCTAAGAGGAGTGTACAGCACTCCGGGTGGAACCGCCAGGCGGGACTGCGCTATTCTCGTGGTGGGAAAGGCGTTCCATGAGAATCTGACACCATCAACGTCCTCCTGTGTCAAAAAGTCCTAGTCCAAGAAGGAGAGTTGTTAGTCCACTGAGTCCTTCACTGTCGGAAAGTCTGCTGTGTGTAGCCTGTTCTGGACAGGCCACTGTGCTTACTGTGTCCATTGATGAGCAGGGCTTTGAGCTTTGTTTTGATTTGATGTTTTGATGTTTGTGCCTCTTATGCCCACAGAAGAAACAAAAACATCAACATCAACAACGCAAATTCCGGTTGCGGCGCATCGGAAGTTTCCGATGTCGGAATGTGTTTCCGGTGCGCTTTGCTCCTCGGAACGTGTGCTCGGAAATGTTCATCACATCGGAACTGGGGCAGTGCGCCAACCCGCGGCATCTCCGAGCCTGAAAATTTTTCTACATAATCCTCACTTCTTTCCTTCTTTTCATTTATTCTTTTCTCCCTTTTCCTGTTCAAATCTCCAGTGGAATCGTCCAATGAGTAAGTTGTTTCGAGCATTGAGAGGCCAATTCCACCAATATGATGAAGATATAATTTTTTACTGCGTTATCGTCTTGAATGGACTGTTTCATTACCGTCTTTGAAAAGAGCTTATACTACAGGTAATCACTGATTTCTTGGAAAGTGCCTCTCTCTTGTCCCCCGTTTGTCGAGCATGCCGTCTAACAATTGATCCTGATATAGGATGCTTAGAAGTGTAAGAGTCTCTGGTAGACGGTTTTACTCTCTGAAGTTCGAAAATGAGGTGCTTGAGTTCGCCAATAGGAAAGCCACTGTGAAGTCCAATCACAGCTGGTATTATCCACCGCTGTCGCAGCTCAGATCGCTGGAACCAATGCGCATTCCTGCGTTCAGATCGAAGTTTGACCAGTTCCACTGGCCACAGAGCAAGCGTGTGGATGAGGAGTGCTGCCTCGAAGGACGTATCCATAGCATACGGAAGTCTGGAAAGGGTATGGTGTTTATGGACCTTGTACAGGACAACTCCAAGGTTCAGCTGGTGCTGATGAACAAGATGATCGGGTGCTCCAAAGACGAGTTTGGTGAATACGTTGATCTGTTCAGGAAAGGCGATAACGTTGTTGCCATCGGCTTCCCAGGGGTCACGAACGTTGGTGAGCTGTCGCTCAAATTGACGCAGCAGTTGAAGATGGCATCGCCTATACTGCACCCTCTACCTCCAAAATTAACAGATCTGGAGAAGAGACACCATAACAAAGTTGTTGACTACTTGGTCAACAGCCGTTCAAGGGACCTGATAATGGCCAGGAGCATGATCTTGCAAACGATTAGAAAGTTCTTTGAAGCAAGAGACTTTATCGAGGTGGAAACCCCAATACTGTCTGTAAACTCCAACGGTGCCAATGCTACTCCCTTCGTTACCCATTCCAAGCACATCAAATCTGGTGACGATCCAATCCCTCTGCAACTACGTGTTGCACCTGAACTTTGGCTAAAGAGACTGGTCATTGGTGGCTTTGACAAAGTGTTTGAAGTGAGCAGAGTCTTCAGAAATGAAGGCATCGATGCGACTCACAACCCAGAGTTCACCACCGTGGAGTTCTATCAGAGCTTTACTACGCTGGAACAGCTCATGGAGCTGACTGAAGGACTTCTATTGGAGATATCGCAGAGGATGCAATCCATGGATATCACAATTGTTAGAGCCAAAGAACTCTTGCAACAAAGCTCCATAGGCTTCAAGAAGCTGGAGTTCATACCAGAAATTGAAAAGGCAACTGGATTGCCGTTCCCACAAGAAGTCACTGAATCATCGCTGCTGGAATACTTTGACAAGATCTCACTGCCACGTCCAAGTATAGCGAGTGTCCCACAGCTGCTGGACAAGCTCTCGTCGACATATCTGGAACCCCAATGCGTTGAACCAACTTTTATATACCACCAACCTTCTCAGATGTCACCTCTTTCCAAAGCAACCACTTTGGAGTATACCAATGGTTCGTATGAAGTCTCAAGACGGTTCGAGCTGTTCATCCAGGGCAACGAGTTTGTCAATGCGTACGAGGAGGAGAACTCTCCAATTGAACAGGCAAGGAAGTTTGCCCTACAACAACAGGAGAAGAACATCCACCATGATGAGGAAACCCCGTTGCCTGATACCAAGTATGTTGATAGCATGGAGTACGGTTTACCACCAACTGGAGGCTGGGGCATGGGCATTGATCGTCTATGTGTGTTTCTATCCAACGAGCAGCGTATTGAGGAAGTGCTGACGTTTGGCACTTTGCCAGATGTCGTTAGACAATGATTTCAATTCTTGTATATATTTTAATTCTACATTATCCTGTATCTATAAAACGTTTCTCCCTCTTCACATTCTGTGGGATAATATGTGTACTCACTTTCTTCTTTATATATGTAAAACCTTCCCTATCCAGTGAGTTAACTTTACAACAACAACTCCAATGGGTTCTCAATGACATCCTTCAATGCCTTGATGAACTCACCACCCTTGGCACCATCGATGACTCTGTGGTCAAAGGTACCGGTGATGGTGATCTTATCGTCAAAGGAGATACCCAACTCGGAGGACTTGTCCTCAACGGCGACTCTTTGAACTGTACCAATAGCCAAGATGGTGGCCTGTGGAGGGTTGATGATGGAAGTAAACATGTGGCAGGCGTTGTTCATACCCAAGTTAGAGATACAGATGGTACCACCTTGGAACTCTTGTGGGAGCAACTTACCAATCTTTGCACGAGCACCCAAGTCCTTAACTTCAGATGAGATTGAAGCAAGGCCCTTGGCGTGTGCATCCTTCACGATGGGCGTGATAAGACCAGTTGGGGTGGCCACAGCGACGGAAACGTCAACATTGTTGTACTGTCTAATGACACCTTCAGCCTCCAACCAGTGAGAGTTGGCCTCTGGAACACGACGAGCGGCAACTGCAATAGCCTTGATCAAGATATCGTTGATGGAGAGTCTGTAACGGTCGTTTGCAGAGGCATTGAGGGAAGCACGCAACTTCAACAACTTGGAGACGCTAATGTTAGACGAGACAATGTACGATGGGTTTGTCTGTGTGGAATGGAGCAAACGCTCACCAATGATACGACGCATGTTAGAGATTGGAATATCCTCGAATGAAGCAGCAGCTGGTGTTGCGCCTGGTGCAGAAGCAGCGGCACCAGCGTTGGCTGCAGGTGCAGACTCCTTAGCGGCAACGAGCTTCTCGACATCCTCCTTGACAATACGACCGTTTGGACCGGATCCTGCAACTCCCTTCAGAGAAACACCATACTCGATAGCCAAGTTCTTGGCCAATGGAGAGGCAATGATTCTATCACCTGGGGCTCTCTTTGGAGATGAAGCTGGCGCTCTAGCGGTCTCGGCTGGCTTGGTTTCAGTGGCAGCAGCCTTTGGAGCCTCTTCCTGTGCTTGCTTCTTTGGAGCCTCCTCCTGTGTGGCCTTTGCTGGCGCGGCCTCCACGGTGAAGTCCTTGAAGGCATCAACATCGCCCTTCTCCTCAACGTAAACGGCGATTGGGGTGTTGACAGGGATGTCCTTCGAGCCTGCTGGCACGAGGATCTTGGCGAGGTACCCATCCTCCTGGAACTCAAAGTCCATCTGAGCCTTGTCGGTCTCAACCTCGGCAATCGCCTCACCTGGAGACAGCTGGTCACCGACAGCCTTGTTCCACACAGCGAGGTTACCCTGTGTCATTGTTGGGGACAGAGCAGGCATACCAATGATGTGATGTGGCGGGTAGGACGATTGGAAACGAATGCATCTGCTTCAGTGTTAGTATCCGCTAGCTGTGTCGTGGCAACAAGCCGCCGCCGCCCTTCTCTAACCGCCGTCTCGGTCTGATCATCAACATCAACATAAACATCAACATAAACATCAACATCAACATCAACACCGGCGGAGGGCGGGCGCTCCGTCACACAGCGCCCGCTGGCAAAAAGTTAACAGTGTACTCACCTTGCAATCGAGCGTGCTGGGAGGGTTCTAGCGTAGGCCAACATTCTATCGAAGCGTCAATTGGACAGTCAGTGGGACAGAACTTGATGGTCTGAAGGAAGGAGGTTCTGAAAGGACAGAGGAAAAGTTTTAAAAGGGGAAAGGGGAAAATGCTTCGAGACGGTGTAGGCCCACCAACAACTGCCACAAACACCCAGGCAGAGGGCGCCAGCGTGAACTTCACCAGGAGAGCCAGACGGGGCCTGCCGCGGGCGGCCTCCCCCCTCCCCTGCCAATAAGCGTGGGCCAGTGGGCCTGTGGGCAGTGGGCTGCCGCTGCCGCCGCCTACGCAGCTTCTCTGTTTGGGCGGGAGAGCGTGGGAAAGCCTCCCCCCCCGTCAGATCAGCAGGCTGGGAACGGCGTGGGATCGCAAGTTTCCCCACGTAAAAAGACGTTGGTTTTAGCTGGTGGATGCCCCCACACAGGCGCAAAGGTTGAGCTGTTGAGGAAATCTGAGGGGGGAAGAGGGAAATGGAAGATCGTGCGCCGGAGTGGGGGGAGGGATGGGGTGTTTGGGTGTTTGGGTGTCTAGATGTTGTGGTGTTTGGGTGTCTAGGTGTTGTGGTGTTTGGGTGTCTAGGTGTCTAGGTGTAGGTCAGATTAAAAGTATACACAGCTCTTGGAGTACCACTCCATGTTCAATTCCGCATCAGCCTTGCCCATCTTGGTAACGTCATAGTCAAACTTGGTATTATCCTCCTCCCACTCAAGTTTATAACAGTTCTGTCCAATAAGGGCCTCCTTAGCGGTCCCCCATGAAAACCTCACCACCGACCCCCATCCAAATAGCTTGTCAACGTCCTCAACTAACCACTTCTTGGTTTTGGGATCCGATGGGTACCCAGAGCCCCATTGTACGTCGTCATGACAGTCCCCGTATAGTTCCTTCTTCGTCCACAACAGTGAGAAATCTCTCGTGACCTTTGCACAGATCGATGCGGCACTGACAACGGGGTACAGCGCATCTGCTTTCTTCGCAACAGTGATCTTCAACTGTGGGAATCGTTTCTGTAGTTTTGCCTGGTAGCTCATAGGTGGCCCCACTGTGTCGACGTAAACCTCTGCGACGTTAACACCAAGGTCCAGTACGCCTTGAATGAGGTCCATCGTGGCATCGTGTGCCTGTTCGTTCAAGTTGTAGTTGGACAGCGAGCCCTCGATATAACGAAGCATACCGGCACTTATATCCAACGCACTCAGACTTCTAATTGCCCATCCAACGTTCTGCCTCAGATCGTGCTCGTGCAAACACATCATCTCTAGCAGTGAACTTCTCTTTTCCTCACTAAGAGTCTTGGAATCTGCAAATCCATATTCCGCCTTCAACTGAGGCTCGTACGAAGCAAGACAATAACTCACACCATACACCATCGGTCCAAGGACTGGTCCACGTCCAGCTTCGTCTACTCCTAATCTTACAGGTTCCTGAGGTTGAGACGCAATCGCATCCGGAATTGGTGTATAGTACGTATGTGAGAGCGAGTGCCCTGGCAACGAAGGAGGTGTAAACTCTGTGCGTGTCATTGATACAATCCACCCCAACTGAGTTCAATAAGGACAAGAACAAACCAATATCAGAATAAGGAAAGTGAGGTAAAACATAGAACTCAGTGAGCTCAAAGTGACGTTTACGCGTCGCGTCTCCCATCCGAACACCAATGCTTATGTAATCCAAACCCTTTTCTTACGTAATCATATCACCATCAAGGAGTTTCTGGAAAAAAATGTGAAAAATCCGGCAAAACTCGAGGAAATTGGAAGCAAGTTTTGAAGCAAAGCTCCAATTCAAATCAACAAAGAACAGGAGTTAACCAGAAACCAATCAACGATGGCATTTGCTCTCTCTGAAGAATCAAAGGTATGCTTTTGTCCCCGATGTTTACCACCATTCTCCGTCTGTGCTCATATGTATGGTATATGAACTGCGACGGAGGTGTTCTCATCTTCCCACCCGTTATACTCCATGGAGTCGCTAACCTAATCCCGCAGGAACGTATCTCAAAGATCCTCGACTCTGCCCGTGTCATTGCACACTACGGGTGGATCCCATTTGTCCTATATCTGGGCTGGATCCAAACTCCAAACAGACCACCGCTCTTAGCTCTCTTGTCCCCATTGCCATCAGTCTAAAGCGTTGTCGCTTTGATTGAGTGATGATATCATGAAAAGAAAAAAACGAATATAAAAGATGATATTACACGATGAGAGTAATATGTATATAGTATTGTTATTAGTATGTGGATGTACCTGCTTCTATGGGATGTAGAACAGTACCATCATGGCAAGTGTCCTAGAGTTTTGTTTGGGGACTTGAGACTAGTCCCTATTAGTCCCTATCAGTCCCGTCAGTCCTTGCTAGTCCCGTTAGTCCCTGATTTCCTTTTAACGCCGCTTCTAACTTGCCGGAGAATCCTCATCGACCCCGGAAAATTTTGTACAATTATGTCTCACCACGATACTCTCTGAGGCTGCTATTCTCCCTGTGCTATTACTGCTGTTGCCAATTCACCTTTTTCAGAAGATCACCAGCCATGGTTTCTAGTGAGATCATTTCAGGCCTGACAGCTGGGTTCATAACAACCTCAGTGACACATCCATTGGACCTTCTGAAAATACGGCTTCAACTTGATACCTCAAACAAGTCGTTTACACAGGCATCGAGGTCAATAATATCACAGTTGCGACAAGATTCTGCTCTGCAGACGGTTAAAGAAGCATATAGAGGGATCGTACCCAATCTTATAGGCTCTTCGGTGGCATGGGGTGTGTATTTTGCAAGTTACAGATATGCAAAGGACATCTTCCACACGTATTCAACGATAACTACAAAGAAAGACTCCAATTTGAAGTCATGGCAGTACATGGGATCTGCGTTGGCTGCTGGCTCCTTCACGGCACTGATTACAAACCCGATATGGGTCCTGAAGACAAGAATCCTGAGTACGAGCAAGGACTCGAAAGGTGCCTATAAGGGTCTCCTGGACGGTGTGGTTAGGCTAGTCAAAGAAGACGGTATTAAGGGCTTCTACAAGGGCTTGATACCCAGTCTCCTCGGTGTATCACAAGGTGCACTACAGTTCACCATCTACGACACCATGAAATACCAGTGGCTAGGCCATGAAGATAGAGCCTCTGGGTTATCAATATCGGAATTTCTCAGTATAAGCGGCGCATCAAAGATCATCGCAACAGTTGTATTATACCCATGCCAAGTTACGAAATCTAGATTGCAGAATTACGGCGCAACATCGACTTTCTCACAAGTTGTATACCAGATCTATACGAGGGAAGGCATCAGAGGGTTCTGGAAGGGTGTTTGGATGAACGTCATTAGGGTATTGCCTGCAACGTGCATCACCTTTGTAGTCTACGAGCAGATGAACAAGCTCTGACCTGCTTTATATGTATATAGGTTTAAAGGAATTATAGGAAAACAATCAGCATATGACACAGCACGACGATCCACCTGTACTAGCCTGGTTAATCTCGTTATTCGCATCATTAGTTGTGGTTCTCTCTCCACGAGCCGTAGAGGTGTTTGCGTTGACATTCGTATTCGTGTTCGTTTCAGTAGTGTGACTGCGGTTCAGAGCACCGGCAAAGCTCGAGATGCTTCTCAGCCTCTTCTTCAAGGCCTTTGGCTTCTCCTCCTCCAGAATCAAGGGTCTGCAGCTCACATGGATGATATCGCTGAGGTCCAATCTGAGGTGCGCAAGCTTTGTGCTGGGTTGCAACGCTGCGCCCATATGAATAAGGCGTATCTGCTGCCAGCTCTCCGGCACATCACCACCTTGCCATACCCCCGGCTCCTTCGTTATTGCTGGCTCTTCCGCAGTCACCGTTGTCTGGTCGTTAGAATTGGTTGTCGTCAGTTCCTTATCGTCGGCAGGTGCCTCTGCTTGAGGCACTGTGGTATCAAAGATATGATGCATCACCTCTTCCACAGTGATGCCATCGACCCCTTTATGCTCAAAGAGCTCCAAATCAACTTCACGCCTCTGGGCATTTGGAAACAGAAGTGTCACTGACGAAGGCGTCGTATCAGACATCGAGGAGAACAGCTGCTGGGCTTAAGATCAGGGTATTAATGCAGTAAAATTAGAAGAGAACAGCACTCCCCCTATATCAGCGATGTGGTTCGTACGTTTGCGGAGTCTTCTGATTCTCTAAGATCACACCACACAGACCTGCTGATTCAGCTGTTTCGATCAGTGGGACTCGCAAGATCTGATAGCAAATCACTATTGAATGCGGAAGAAGTGCCAGACAGAGAAGGAAAGGGTTCTATAGTTAGCTTCCGGGCCCATAAATGTGTGTGAAGCTGCAACACTGAATAAATGGCTCACATAGGCAATTCGCCTAATCGGGAACACATCTTTGTTTACATTACCCTACCTTTAAGATGTATATATAATCACGAAGTCTTCGTCTGGACGGGTTCTTCCTACTGTGGAAGGTGGTAACTAGCAGCTGTTTGTGTTGTAAATACTGGTGTGTCAGGCTGTTGACACTCGCATCTTCCGGAGATGTAAGCAGGGGAACAGAGACATCTCAGAGGATTACTGTACAAAGCTCATGTGCAAGGGCACATGGACGTGACTTCTGGGCGAAGGCCAATCATTGACTGATGCTACAGCTCTGGAATGACACCACAGCTCTGGAATGACACTACAATTCTGGAATGACACCAGAGCTCTGGAATGACACTACAGCCTAGGATTGACCCTCAATGATTGGCACCTACGTATTCGACAACACTCGCCGAACCAGCGTGACCACCATACCTTCTACGATTCCGGCGATGCTGAGAACTGAGGGCCCGCAATTGCCATCACTTTAACAGACACAGCTATACACTGAACGTCCATACCCAACGTATTGATGACAACGAACAATCTCACAGTACAATCACTTGTTCTATACCATACAGCGTCCAGACAGTTGCCACGGTAACGAAAGATAGATGTTTGCTTATGTAAGCAGTCACGTGAGAATTGCCGCTTTGGGACTATTAGCCGATTATCGGGATACGTTCCCCATAATGTTGCCAAAATGACTGTGGGTGGCCATTTCGTGCTCTCTTTCTCTCTCCCATTGACCCTTTACTGCCCCTTGGTTCTGTCTACAGTTGCTCAGTCGATACTGCACCATTGACTAAGGTGAATCATCAAGGTATCTCCCCTACAATCAACTAAACTACAATGTCATTCGGTGCTGCTGCTCTTCAGCGTCTTGCTGGTAAGACTATCTTCATCACCGGTGCCTCCAGTGGTATTGGTAAGGCTACTGCCTTGGAGTATGCCAATGCCTCCAACGGTGATGTCAAGCTGATCCTAGCTGCCAGAAGATTGGAGAAATTGAAAGAGGTTGAGGCGGAGTTGAAGAAACAATTCCCAAACGTTGGCGTGTACGTCAACACTTTGGACGTTAGTGCACCAAACGCCATCGAGCCCTTCCTGGGCCAATTGCCAGAGGAATTCCAGGACATTGACATCTTGGTCAATAATGCCGGTAAGGCCCTTGGTAGGGCAAGGGTTGGTGACATCAAACAGGAGGACATTGACGAAACCTTCAACACAAACGTCCTGGGGCTGATCAGCATCACGCAGGCGTTGGTGAAGAGATTCAAGGAGAAGAACTCCGGTGACATTGTCCAATTGGGCTCCATCGCTGGTAAGGACCCTTATCCGGAGGGCTCCATCTACTGTGCCTCCAAGTTTGCTGTTAGAGCCTTCACTGAGTCCTTGAGAAAGGAACTCATCAACACAAAAATCAGAGTCATCGAGGTCGAGCCTGGTGCAGTCGAGACGGAATTCAGCATTGTCAGAAACTATGGTGATAAGGCTAAGGCAGATGCCGTCTACAAAGGCAGAGAACCTTTGTACGCAGATGACATCGCAGAGGCCATCGTCTTCGCCACCACCAGAAAGCAAAACACTGTCATTGCTGAGATGCTGGTGTTTCCAAGTGACCAGGCAAGTGCCTCGCACATATATAAGAGAGCTTAAGGCCTGTCCACTAAGACTATTCGTCGTTCTCTCCCCCCCCCTTACCCACTTCTCGCTAGTTTTGTAGGTGTAAGCCCTCCCCAGCCAATCAGATCGCTGCATTGCACACGTTCCGAGAACTCAAGCAATGTTAGTCCCTCCCCGGATTACTTTGATGCAGCGATGACACATAAGCCTCTCTCTCTTTCTCTCTCTCTCTCTCTCTCCCCGCGTAGTTTCAACGGAAGATCCATGGAACTGGAGCCCAGTCGAGTGGAACCAGTTAGCCGTGGTGCTACAGGCCTGTGAGGCAATTACAGCTACAGTGGCATGAGTTTCAGCGTAGTTTGTATGGCTATCGTGCGTGTAGAGGCCCACTTTTTGCTATATAGCCCTCCCAGGCTGTCTCCACTGGGCTACTTGTCATGCGATGCTGTAGCTGGTATGTCTTCATGAACAGGGCATAGCCAATTGCGTTTCTTCTCTCGGGAAACACCCCTAAAGCGAGTATTCTGTTCCGAGTGCCGTCTCCTCTTATGCTTTAGCTCGTAAGGCGAGTCAGAAGTTGTAGAGTGTCTGAAGCTGTGTGGGCCTGCCAGTGGAGTTGCCAATACCCATGGAACCTCCTTTGCCTGTGCGTGTGTGCTTCACAATTGGGGTGTTGATCTGATGACTGTTCCACGGATGTCAACGCTGTTAGGATGTTGTGCCTGATGGTGGGGATTCAGGTGTAGGGGGAATTGCTAAAACCAGACACAGCACCGTTACTGCTACATTTGGAGGTGTGTGGGATGGTTAGCTGAGCCCTTTGTCGAATTGTATATATAAAGCGTTCGATGTAACCTCAAATGCGTCTTAGTCCATGGCAATCCTCGTAATACATCAACCCAAAGTTATCGATACTAAGAAAATGTCTGCTGGCAAGATCCTCGCTGTTCTCTTCAAAGGTGGTGAATACAACACTCCAAAGCTACTGGGCTCTGCTGAGAATGCACTTGGTCTGAAGAAGTTCATCCAGGAACACAACAGATCCATCTTCTCCACCAGCGATAAAGGCCCAGAGATTGACGACTACATCAAGGAGGCCGAAGTGATCATCTCCACCCCATTTAACCCGGTGTACATCTCCAAGGAGAGAATTGACTCTGCAAAGAACTTAAAGTTGCTCATCACTGCAGGCGTGGGCTCCGACCACGTTGACTTGGATCACATCAACAAGTCTGGTCGTGATATCTCAGTCTTGGAGGTCACGGGCTCGAACACAACCTCGGTTGCCGAGCACGTTGTCCTGACCATCTTATCTCTGGTCAAGAACTTCATTCCAGCACACCAAAACGCCATGGAAGGTGGCTGGGATATTGCTAAGATCTCCAGAGATGCATATGACCTGGAAGGCAAGGTTGTGGGCACTATCGGTGCCGGTAGAATTGGCTACAAAGTGCTGGAGAGACTGTATCCATTCAAGACCAAGGAGCTGCTGTACTATGACTACCAGCCGTTATCTGAGGAGCTGCGTTCTAAAGTGGATGCTAGAAGAGTTGACAGCATCGAGGAGCTGGTGGCACAGTCTGATATCGTCACCATCAATGCGCCACTGCACGCCGGCACCAAGAGTCTGGTGAACAAGGAGCTGCTCTCCAAGTTCAAGCCAGGCGCTTTGCTCGTCAACACTGCCCGTGGTGCCATCTGCAACGCACAGGACGTTGCTGATGCCGTCAAGTCTGGTCAGTTGAGAGGTTACGGCGGTGACGTTTGGTACCCACAACCAGCTCCAAAGGACCACCCTTGGAGAACCTTGAGCAACCAGTACGGTGACGGTAACGCCATGACGCCACACGTCTCTGGTGCCAACTTGGATGCACAGGCCAGATACGCCCTGGGTGTCAAGAACATCTTGCAATCCTACTTCTCCGGTAAATTCGACTACAGACCTCAAGACGTTATCTTGTTGCATGGCCAATACGCTACAAAGGCCTATGGTAGTGACAAGGAGGTTGTTGATGTTAACTGATTGTATAAGTGCCTCTCGAAATATCAATCACACACACGTATGAAACCGTGAGCCCTTTACTGGTAGCTTGCGCCTTGTGTAGATAAGTGAAGCCCTGTAGCGTTATTGTTGATAATTCCTTTGAGCTTCACTGTTGATAATGCACCAGCTTTACTGTTGATAATGCACCAGCTTCACTGTTGATAATGCCCTAGCGCAGAGTCATGCGATGCGTGCAGGTGGAAGCCCCCCGTGGTGCACAGTTCATGCCAGCACACGATGATGAGACATACCACCAAGTACACTACAGAATCAGCATTATAAGGCGGGTCCGTTGTTAAGAGAAGTACGAGGAAAAGAAAGGCCACCAGTGGACCAGGAGGGCACGTTTTCGCCAGGCACCAGTCTTGTTTGCCTCTGAAAAGTGGTATCACCTCAAATACCTCAGCAACTTGTCTTGGTGTCTTGGGTGTATAAAAGAGTAGGCAGCCCTTGTACGCTGACTCCTGGTGAGTAGTGACGATTGCTCGCCTGTGGCAGTACGTAGAAGAGGTGATCACAAAGACCATGCCAGTGACCATCTCAGGAAACCACTATACTGTGAAGCTCGAGGTCGAGCAACCAGAGAGTTTGAGCGCAGAGGGCGAAGAAGCTGTCTATACTGTTGGTGAGCATGTTGTTTGCAATGTGACATTGCAGGTGCTCACCAAGGCAGTGGCGTTCAAGGAGATCGCCGTGGAGTTCACTGGACATACCACTGTGGTGGCCCACGAAGGTCTCAAGCCACTGGACTCTGACGACATAAGCACCCATGAGACCGTGACGCATCGCCTGTTTACCAACCCTCTGTCGTTGCTTTCCCAGGCCGGCGAGTTCGAAATGACACCAGAAACAGGTGACTTCACCATAGAACCGGGTGTTTACCAGTTCAAGGGCCAATTTATCTTCCCAAAGACAGCTGAGACGGGGACAATCAACCTCTCTGCCGACTCTTATAACGTCAAGAAGCCAAAGGACGCAGGCTACACCACCACGATGGTTTCGCAGCTCCCATCAACTTGTTACTTTGATGCCATGGACCAAGATGGCGAGAAGAGAGGCTATGCCTTTGTCGAGTACGCAGTGCACCTCAAGGTGACAGACGCAAAGGAAGTTCAGGACCACTTTGCAAAGCTTCACTTTGTCGGCAAGAGTAATACCAAGGACGCTGGCAACACGGCAACAACCTTCACCACGTCCAACGCTGTGTACCTCCAGGGTCTGCCACTTCCAGGTGAGAAGGAGAAGAACAAGCTTAAGAAGCTGCTCAACGGTGTTAAACACACCATCTTTGACTCTGAGCTGTGTCTCGGTGCCCCCTTATCAGCAAAACCTGGAGAAACACTGAGTCTGAGCCTGCGTATCCTCAACAATCTCCCTGACAGTGAGAAGAATCTCGTGAAGTACGTGAAGAGCTTCCAGATGAGCTTTGTCACGCATGCCTTGATCAGAACACAGTCGATCCCAAAGATGGTCCTGGCCAAGAAACACGACTGGATCAAGCGCACAAACGTTGGCCAGTTCGACTTTGCCGCCAACAGAGTCTCCGACCTCCACCTGAACCACGTCGGCATGGAGCTTGATCTGGCCCCTCTCATCGACGTCCCTCTAACTATCCCGCACACCACGGTCAACTCCTTCCACGCAACGAACCTCAAGGTGTACTACACCATTGAGGTCTTCATGAGGCTCGGAGACCTCGAGGAGGAGTGGGACCAGGGTGGCATCGACTTCAAGATTGTCAGGGATATCGTCATCGACGATGATCGTCATGCAGAAGGCCCATGAGTCTGTCCCCCGGATCCCCAATATCGGATCCCCAGCCTACTTGTTCCGGCTACAAGTCCCTCATTAGTCTTGCGATTTAACTTATGCTTTTCTATACTTGTCATGGCATGTCGCTCATTGGTAGACACTATAGCTCCACAGCTTGTGATAGCCTGTAATACACACTCACTGAGTCATCCAGAGAGCCCTCCCGATGTGCTCTGCTCGCTTCGGTACATCGAAGCCGTTGGGGCCCTGGCCACTGCAGCCGCACCCCACAAACCCGCTGGCGAGGATTTTCGGCCGAGAATAACGTTTGGTCGTGACGCATAGCCATGTAGCCCCGGATGCTGGGGATGCGCTCGCGTCTTTGGTGATGGTATACGCTTCGATGTGTCTGGTGGTTGGAGATGGCAGGGTATGGGTTTGATGAATTAATTAGAAGGTGTTGTCACTGGATGGACCAACGGGAGTGGTGCTAAGTCATCTGGTGCGTGAAAAGCGGAGGTTGGCGTCGTGTATCTGTCCTTTTTCCCACTATATAAGGTGGACTTCTCCCGTGTATGTTCCCAGTGATATCTCTCTCTTGGTTCCATTCCATCATCACCACTTAGACATTCCAGATACACGCAGAGATGTCGCTTGTGTTTGAAAATGCCACTCTTGTGGACAGTCTGCCAAAGGCCACCTCGTTCTTCGACGCTGTTAGCACCGTCTCGCAGAGCTCGTCGAGCCTGAGCTTGCTGGAAACGTACTGGGCAGCCTGGTATCACTATATGCAGAACGATGTCCTCGCCACGGGACTGCTGTTCTTCCTGGTCCATGAGGTGACATACTTTGGCCGCTCGTTGCCTTGGTACATCATTGAGAAGATCCCCTACTTCAACAAGTGGAAGTTGCAGGCTGAAAAGACCGTGTCTGACAAGGAGCAATGGGAATGCTTGAAGAATTTGTTCATCTCCCATTTCCTCGTTGAGGCCATTCCACTGTGGAGTTTCCATCCGTTGGCTCAGAAGCTTGGGATCTCAATCACAGTGCCATTCCCTTCGTGGAAGACCACTGTCTGGCAGATCTGCTTGTTCTTTGTCCTTGAAGACTTCCAGCACTATTGGACACATAGACTGATGCACTATGGCCCATTCTACAAGTACATACATAAGCAGCACCATCGTTACGCCGCACCGTTTGGCGTAGCAGCTGAGTATGCCCATCCAATTGAGACTATGTCTCTTGGTTTCGGCACGTTGGGGATCCCAATCATCTACGTCTACTATACACGCAATTTGCACCTGTACACGCTATCGTGTTGGATCATCCTCAGATTGTTCCAAGCTGTCGATGCACACTCTGGCTACGATTTCCCATGGTCGTTACACCACTTCTTGCCTTTCTGGTCCGGTGCTGATCACCACGACATGCACCACCAGTACTTTGTCGGTAACTACGCTTCATCTTTCAGATGGTGGGACTACTTCATGGACACCGAGGGTGGTCCTGAAGCTAAGCACGCCAGGGAGGAGAGAATGAAGTTGAAAGCTGAGAAGCTGGCTAAAAAGACTAAATGAATGCCTTCGAGAATATTCCACACTTATATAACAATTATGACGTATATGGCTTGAAACATTGACATACTCTATGATACAAGTTGATGATGTAGGCTAAGCTGGCCAGAAGAAGAGCGCTGCTAGGAATACGCAAACATGTAGCCCTCGCATTAGGCTGGCACCTACCTGGTGTATCGCACCTCGGTTCTCGTCTCTTTGAGGGGCTCAAACAGTATACATGTGTATGGATCTCACCGTTTCTTGGAAGCTCAGTACGTAGAACCACACTGGTGATTCACGTCAGTGATGAGCGTCAAAATTGGGTGCATCATCTGTTCATGTCCCAGAAGGTGTGTTTTCACAGATGGCAGCACGAATGATCACACAGTCCACTGGCAGCCCCATCTTCTATGAGTTAAAAGAACGCTGCTGGATAGAGTAACACCCCGAGAGCGAGTGAAGGACACTGCGCAGCCGAGAAGCAGGGAAAGAACAACGCAGAGGCCAGCTAACCCTTCAACGACTCCAACTTCTTTGCATCCTCCTTAGCCCATGCCACCTGTACTGGCTTCCCAAACAGAACCTCTCCTTGCGATGATCTGAGAGCGAGCTTGGCGTCCTGGACCCCGGCAAACAGTACAAAGGCCTGTCCCCTTGTGTTTGGAGATACGATAACGTCCACCACCTGCCCAAAAGTTGAAAAGAACACGAACAAGTTCTCCCTCAGCTTCTCCAGCGATAACTGGTCGCTCAGGTTATTCACATAGAGCGTGTATTTCGCGTGTTCTTCGGCCATTTTGCTACTCTTTCCTACTGCAATGTTGAGCCGAGTGCGCTATGGTTGTACGTTGATTTGTTTGTTGATGTTTGAGTTTTCGCCTCGGGACCTCATCGGTAGGGGCAGTTCACACGTGACTTTGGCGGTACGTGCAGCATGCACGTGACCTTATGGTAGGCGCAACATAACTGGAACTTCATCGGTACGCGCAACAATACACACCACCTTCAACGCTTAGTCTCATAGATTAGTTCCATCGTTCAATGGATGTTGTATTTACAAATAAGTGTATGCTTAAGATGTCTGAGCTCTGTGCTGAGTAGTAAGCCAACGAGAAGAAGAAATGGAGGTGTGGAGGGTGGGGGTTTCGTAAAGATCATGCAGAAGCTGGGATTGGGAAAGGTTGTTTGTCCACGCCTTTACGTTCGTCGCTATCTGGGGATTCGACAACAGTGTTTGTCATCTGTTTGGCCTTGGACAGAGGCTCTCCGTTGACAACCTTGATGATTTCATCCTTTGTCAGCGTTTCGTACTCGATGAGGCCCTGAGCCAGTCTCTCCAGTTCCACTTTCTTGTCGTGCAGCATACGTCTGGTACGGTTCTCTGATTCTTTCAACATGTCAACCACCTCTTGGTCTGCGACATCACGGAGCTTTGGCGACCACGAGTCCCATTTCTCCGCAAGACTGATAGGACCCACTTTGTCCGACATGCCGTACTGCGTAACCATTGCCCTTGCTGTGCCGGTAGCGGAGCTGAGGTCTGACCCGCATCCACTCGTGGTGTTCTCAGCACCGTAGATCATCTCTTCGGCAACCTTACCACCCATACAGACGTCCAATCTTGCAATACACTCCTTCTTCGTGATATCAATCTTATCCATCTCCGGTAGCTGGAAGGTGATACCCAGCGCACGACCTCTTGGTAGGATCGTGGCCTTGTAGAGTGAAGTGGCACCTGGTGTATACAACGCCATAATGGCATGGCCAGCCTCGTGGTACGCGGTGGCTCTTCTACTGGCCTCGGTGATCACCATGGTTTTTCTTGCAGCCCCCATCAAGATCTTGTCCTTTGCCCATTCGAAATGGTTCATGTCAACGGCAAGAGCGTTTTGCTGAGATGCATGGACAGCAGCTTGGTTGACCAAGTTCATCAGCTCAGCACCTGACAAGCCAGGAGTACCACGGGCAATGATGGTTGGGTCCACATCCTTTGCGATTTCAACATTCTTCATGTGGTGTCTCAAGATATCGGCACGCCCTCTAACATCTGGCAGGTCAACGTTCACAATCTTGTCAAAACGTCCTGGACGGGTAAGTGCTTTATCCAGAGATTCTGGGAAGTTCGTGGCTCCAATGATGATGATGCCGGAAGTTTGCGAAAATCCGTCAAGCTCAACAAGCAACTGGTTCAAGGTCTGCTTAGCGTAAGCCTGGTCCCTAGGATTACGTTTGCCTCCAATGGCATCCAACTCGTCGATGAAGATGATTGCAGGGGAGTGGGCTCTGGCCTGAGAGAACAGCTCACGCACACGCTTAGCACCAACACCGACATACAACTCATCGAACTCGGAACCAGACATGAAGAAGAATGGCACGCCCGCCTCACCAGCGGTGGCTCTGGCCAACAACGTCTTACCAGTACCTGGAGGACCGGTCAAGAGCACACCCTTAGGCAGCTTACCACCCAAGCCGGTGAACTTTGTTGGATCCTTCAGGAAATCAACAATCTCCTCCAACTCCGCACGCGCTTCGTCAGCTCCCCTAACATCGTCAAACTTGACGTTCACCTTCGACATGTCCACGGACTTGTCAGAGCTCTCCGAGTTCTTGAAGATGGTGCCGGACTCCACCAAATACGTGAAGCCCTCCATCACACCCCACGTCAGCAGCCCAATAGGAATCAGGAACTTCAACCACTTGGAGATCATCGTCCACGTCGACTCTGCCACAACAACGTAGACAGGGTTGTTACGCGATCCGTACGAACCACCAGCGCCAAACGCAGCGCCGCCATTCCCGTGCAAACCAGCACCACTCAACGAGCCCTTGGCCAGCTGTGACTTCACCGCCTCCGCCTCCTTCATCTTACCCAGCTTCTTCAGCGCATCCGCGTACAGGTGTGCACACTCCGTCGACGTTGCTATGCCTGGCGACTCGTATCTCGACACAACGTACTGCGGATAGTTCGCCTTCAGCAGGCTCTTGTAGAAATCCGCTTGCGCCCTTGGGTTCTCCAGCTCCTGGTTGGCAGTCTGCTCCTTTGCCGCCAGCGTGGCCTGTGTGCTTGTTGATGCCGCCCTGGTGAGGATATACAGAGCCCTTGGGCTCTTCAGTTGGGTGGCGCACCTTGTGAGTCTGAGCATTTGTGTTCGGATTTGATGTTTGTCTTGTAATGGCTTGTCCTGCTTGTCCTGCTTGTGAATGGGCTTTCACTTTCTAATAAGCAGTGTGCAAGGACAGATGTAGCGTCTAATTTGGACAAATGTTGAGATGGATAACAAGTTCTACGAAGCTGTTTGTCTCGTCCCTTTTTTTTTGGTTTGTCCCAATTCTCCGTGGTTTGGATTTATCGTCAATTTTGTCTCGATTTCCCAAACGGTGGTTTCTTTTTACAAGAAACCGGCGACTGGTTTTTTGGGGGTTTTGGGCAACGCCCGCGGGTTTCGGTTTCTTTGCCTGGCTTTTTTGCCTGTCTTTTTGTCCATTTTGGTGTCTCTGTTGCTCACTTTGGGGGGAGGAGGGGAGAGAACCGGGGTTCCGAGGGTGATTACGTAATTAGAGACATGATATCAACTCTACTGTTGGGGTGGATACACACAGCTATGGTATATTTCTAAGTAAAAAGGGTGGGACGACCACATCTTCTCCAGTTCGAGCTAGATTCCATGTTTCTTCTGAATCTCTGCGTGGAAGCCCATGACTGAGTCGTTACCTAAAATGCAACACCTTGTTAGTAGACTTCGCGTGTGGCCATATGGCATTCCCGATACTCACCTGTGTAGATATCCTCCCAGTCGATACGTGAATCCTTGTTTAGCAAGATGTCTCTATGAAGGTTCGAGGAGCCTCCCAATACGCTTGGAACAAAGTCGGTGGAGTCGACGATCTTCAACTCCATCTCACGCTTGATTGGCTCCGCCATTCCGAAAACACGTCTATATTGCTCCATCTTGAGCTCTTGTTGCCGTTGCTCCCATCCTTCAATGCGTTGCTCCAGAGGATGTCTTCCATTGACCTGTGAGCTGATACTTAGGGGCCCCTGTTGTGTTCTCAAGATGTCCTGCAACGCTGGAGCTGAAGGTGCAACCTCACCGAACTTGGTGGAGTTGACGGTGGAAGGCTGTTTGTTTTCAGGAACTAGTCTAAGACTCTATTCGTAGTGTCAGTTGAGTGTCATTCAAAGGCGAGCAAAGGGCGTACGTACCATCTGTTGTTTATCTTTGCGCTGGTTGTGTTGGTTGTGTCTTGTCTAAGTGGCAATTTGTTGTTTTTCAAGACACAGAAAAAAGCGTGAATAAACTCTGGGACGTTCACGATTTACGGGACATTTGGGACATACGTTGATGGCATCAAAGGGCATTACGTTAAAGACATTGGTATTACGTTAAAGACATTGGTATTACGTTGAAGACATAGACATCACGTTAAAGACATAGACATCACGTTCAAGACATTTTCACTACACCAAAGGTATAAACACATTAACGCTTGAAAACTGGCTCCACCTTCCACCTGACCAACATCGCATTGAAGAGACAAGCCGTACAATGACCACGGACACCTTGTACAACCTCAGGTACAAAGCACAGACAGGCCACAACGGCTACTCTACGAGTGCAAAGATCAGCCCCAATGGAGCTTACATTGCCACGAGCTCATCAGACTGCACCATCAGACTGTTCGACTTGGAGAATGGCTCAAAACTGATTCGAGTCCTGGAAGGACATCGTGATGGTGTAAACGATATCTCATGGTCCCCTGACTCGAGACACCTGGCATCTGTTAGCGACGATATGACTCTGAGGGTGTGGGACGTGGAATACGGCGAATGTATAAGCGTGATGCAAGGGCACACGTATCATGTGACATGTGTTGAGTTCAACCATAAGGGCAACTTGCTGGTGACTGGGAGCTCAGACGAAGCCATCAGGCTGTGGGATGCTCTGAATGCCAAATGCCTCAAGACGCTCAGCGCACACAGTGACCCGATAGCAGCTGTGGATCTATGCTGGGACAGCACGATCATCGCGAGTGCGAGTTATGACGGTATGATCCGACTGTTTGACACTGAGAGTGGCCAGTGTCTGAAAACGTTGATATACGATAAGGGAGGCTCCTCGTTCCCTGTGTCGTACGTGAGATTCTCGCCAAATGGCAAGTATCTGCTGTCCACAACGTTGGACAACACTCTAAGGCTGTGGGATTATATGAACAACAAGGTTGTGAAGACGTTCCAAGGCGCCAAACTGGAAAAGTACACCTGTTCTTCGAGGTTCATAATGGCCAAGGACCCGCTCATCGCCTCGGGAACTGAGACAGGTGACGTGCTAATATGGGACCTACAGTCAAAGGGCATCATTGCCACTTTGAAGGTGTCAACCTCGCCCGTACTGGCAATCGACGTACTCAACAATACGCTGATCGCAATGGACATACAAGGTAACTTGCTCTGTTACGACCTTAACGAGGGGTTCAGTGGCTACGACAGCGAGCGGACTGATACTAACTGACTTTACCAATAGCCACATTCATATACACAAGCTGATCTGCGATGCTTCAGTACCTTCACGATGAGCCAGGGCTACGCGGTCGATCAGGTAGTGGACTTGATTGCTTGGTACCTCCGTTGAGAGAATATTGGCTCGTATGTGAAGTCGCAAGAGAGTATGGCGTGGATATTAGAACGACATTAATCTAAGTCCCGTTGTTATTGAGAGGATTCATCTCGCACTTTCTGTGCGTGGCCACCTCTCCAAACACTTCATCCACGACTGTGTAAACATTTACTGAATAGACCTTTAGGTAGAGCATGCGAGCGTTATTCATGCTGGTGAATCTTGGAAGTGTGATGTAAGCCTGGCCATGAGCAGACCATGTTTGGTTCATGTGGGACCAACTTGGCCTGTAGGAGGAGATGATCCTGTGACTTGATGGTCATAGCGAGGCATCGTCCTTGCATTTTCTTTAAGGTTGTTGGGGTAACGATGAACCAGAATCATATAGTAAGAAAATGAATGGGAGGTTATTTTGGAAGAACCAGTAGTCCCATCAAGCTGAAAGTGACTATATATGGTGATGCAGATCGATGTGACTGATTGGTGTGGTATGCTTTCTTGACTTTGTTCTGTTGTTGAGATATCAGCGAGTCTTTCCTTTTATGATGAATCCGGTTAATTTATGAATCGCTATATCTCAGGAAGTATTGGAGATTGCATGCTCATACTTGGTGAATCTCTTAGCTGGCATTGTAGCTACCGTTTGGTATACTTTCGGGAAATATGCAGGCGAGCTTGCTAGTTTTATTAGTATCATTCTGATAACTCATAATGTTTTGATTGCGTTCGACGTTGCTGTAGCACCACGCCCGCGCGCCAGAGGGAAACTGGGGGAGAGCCACAAAACCCTGCCTAGCCCACAACCACCACCTCTGCCTACGGGAAAGGGCTCTGCCTACGAGAAACTCATCTCCGCCTACCGCACACACCGCTATCCACCACACCAGCTCATCGCCCTTATTCAACCCCAAAGACGTGCCACCCCGACCACCCAAGCATGTCCTACATCACAGCACAGTTCCCAACAACCACGCGTACACATCCCAGGCTCGCACACACGTCGCCGCTGGTCACATCCATCCTCCAGCGGTCGTTCGCATTGATAGTCATCGGCAACGCCATGATGGACTTGCTCACATGGACAGGCAGCGACCCGGAGATGAACGCTGTCTACTGGATCACGGTATATCTCAGCGTGTACTACTTCCCCTGCTGTGCGTACTGGCTCCTCCTGTTCCCCCTGTTGGTGTTGGGCTACTGCAGCGTAAACTACTATGTCAACTCGGTGTACCTGGACATCAACTCCCAGGAGAAGCCCACGCTGGAGGAGATCCTCAACGGGCTGGACAACCTGGTGACCAAGTGTGAGCTCGTGGCCTCGCCGCTGGTGGCCATGGCGTTGCCGTGGCCCAGACTGCTCAGCTACATCGCCATCGTGACCCCGCTGAACGTTGTTATGTTGAAATGGGTCATCTCGCTGAGGACATATGTCCTGCTGACGGTGATCTTCGTGTCAACGTACCACTCCGTGTGGTTCCAGGCATCGCTACGGATCCTGTGGAGGTCTCAGCTGGTACGCAACGTGTGCTACTTCGTCGTAGGTTCGCACGTCTCCACTACGAGTAACAACTACAGGATCATCAACGGGAACAAGAACGGCAAGATCATCCAGTTCCAGATACTGGAGCACCAACGCCGGTGGTTTGGCATCGGATGGAGCGACAAGCTGCTGCCGTATGAGCGTTCAAACTTCACCAATGAGGCATTCCAGTCCACGTCGTCGCCGAAGGAGTTCCACTTCCCCTTCAATTCGAAACATTGGAGGTGGCTCCAGGAGGCATGGCACGTTGATCTGGAGTATTGCAAGAACAAGAACAGCGAAGGCTGGGTCTACTACGACAACTACTGGCAGGCTCCCCAGTTCAACGACTCGCTGACGAGCTTCACCAGGAGTCGCCGGTGGACGAGGAAGGCTGTGCTGGTTACAGAGAGGTCATCCAATGTATAAGGTGTATTACTTCTATCTAACTGCTTCAGGCGTCGGTCTTTGTAGGGAAGAAGGACGAATAGGCGGACAACGCTGGAGCACCACCCAGGTGCACGTACAACACGTTGGAGCCTGGAGCGATTGAGCCCTCGGTGATCAGCTGGAGCAGGCCTTGCATGGACTTGCCCTCGTACACCGGGTCGGTGAGCACTCCCTCCTGCTCTGCACAGAGTCTGATGGCCTCGATGGTGCCCTCGTTTGGAACACCATAGCATGGGTAGGCGAATCTCTCGTCCAACTGGAAGTCCTTGAACTCGTGCTGCAGCCCGATGAGTTTACCGGTGTTGTTGGCGATCCTCAACGTCTGGGACTTAGTCTTGTCCGGCGTGAAGGAGGCATCGATGGCGATCACGTCGTCCTGTCTGCCGTACTGGGCCATGCCGGCTAAGATGCCCGCGGTGGTCGAGCCGGTGACACAGCACACGACCACCTTGTCGAACTTGATCCCGAGCTCCTTCTCCTGCTTGACCACTTCGTCGGCGAACCCAACGAACCCCAGGCCACCGTACTTGTGCTCAGAACAGCCGGCGGGGATCGGGTATGGCTTGTGGCCAGCATCCTCCAGCTCCTTCATGGTATCGGCGAACGATTGTCTCATGCCAATGTCGAACTTGTCGTCAATGACACGGACATCGGCGCCCATGATACGTGACAGCTCGATGTTGCCAACCTTGTTGTACACGTCCTTCTCGGCCTCTGGGATTGGCACCCAGTCCTCCTGGATCAGCACACACTTCTTGCCCAGGTGTGCGGCCAGGGCCGCGACCATACGGGTCTGGTTGGACTGTCTGCCTCCAATCGACACCAGGTGCGTGTACTCGCCGGCCAGGATATCCGGCACGATGTATTCCAGCTTTCTCAGCTTGTTACCACCAAATGCCAGGCCAGAGTTGCAGTCCTCCCGTTTGGCGTAGACGTTGACGTTCTTCCCCAGGTGCTTGGACAGGCGCGCGAGGTGTGAGATTGGCGATGGGCCGTTGAACGTGAGTGGGTACTTCTTGAAGGCTGCGAGACCGGACATTTTGCGAGGGCTTTGGTACGCTGAGTGAGCTACACGGTGATGCTGATGGCGATGGTGATGGTGATGGCGAAGCACAGAGCAGACCATCCAGCGACGTCTGGCCTCGTGCTTTTATACCAATGGAGAGATAAAACTGGCCTCGAGGCCTTGGAGCTCTGCGCCGGTGTTATGCATTCGACATGCGGGAAGACCGAAGCGGTGCTGTAGCAACGGCGGCCAGGAGGGTTTTCGTGCTTTTCGTGCTTTTCAGAACATTCCGAAAACCACACCCCATTTTTCGGACAGAGCACCCTCCTCGCCCAAAAAGAGGTAAATATGATCCCGAGGTTGGGAATATATGTGTCAAAATGTACTTAATCCCCTTCGCTTAACGACGGTGGAGCGGCAACGAGCGCGGGCATGTCGAACAGAGCAACGCCCCAGAAGCAGGTGGTGTCGCTTGGGAGGTCCAGGAGCATCTCGTACGCGACCGGTAAAGGGAGGGTGAGAGGCCCGGCGCCGCAGTGTGCTCAGCATCAGCATCAGCTTCAGCTTCAGCATCAGCATCAACATCAACATCAACATCAACAGCCAGATCACCGAGAGCAGGGTGGCCACCGGGATGGGCCAGGAGCATATGCGCCCTTGCACTCGACAACGTCTGCAGAGAGCATCGACACGCACCAATCATCCGCTGAGCTGTTTGAGGCGTGCTCCATGAGCACGGAGTCGGTTCCAGGGAACCTCCACGTCTCGTCGAACACGAGCATTGAGCACCTCATCAAGAGATGTGGTGCAGTCAATCTGATCCGCCAGTTGGCCACTGACCTGGCTCAGAGAGAGGCAGAGATGATGGTGGCGCAGAGGCGGAACTCGCAGCGGGAGAGCGTCATGATGAAGCTGCTCGCAGAGGTTGGGTTCTCGTCTGCACAGGTGGAAGGGATCATAAGGGAGAGGACCAATGCTGAGGCCAGGGACGACGAGCAGTACTTGAAGGACCTGCTAAGCGACGCCATGGAGGAAGGACTGGACCATGATCATCTCACGAGGCCGAAGGCATCCTCCGTGGTTACGTCGCTTGTGCCTTCCTCGCGCCATTCCAATACCCGTACCCTGGTTTCAGGCGATGGTGATGATGGTGATGACGCTGCGTACACGACACTGACACCTGGTATGACCAAGAGGCCACACTCACAGTCTTCGCCACCGGTGCCTCACAGCTCCTCGACACAGGGCGCTGGAGCACCCTCCGTCGAGTCTCATTATGATATATTCCAGGGGAGTATCCTGAACGTTGTCTCTCACAAGTTCCTCAACCGCGTCCCACAGCCTGTCCACGATGCCATCGTCAATACCAACACAAGCACAGGCACCAATAGGCTGATCCCGTTGGAGATGGAGAACTTCAACGCAAAGAGTAAGATGCCTACGGAGGAGGAGGGCTACGTGGACCAGTTCGGCTTCTTGTACGATAAAGAGAAGTCCATGGCATCTGCCTCGTCCACGAGGCATTCCGTGTCCACCACTGAGCTCCTACAGCACCACCAGGTGGAGACATCGCCATTGCAATCCAAGCTGCTGTCACTGGCTGACAACTACGACAAGAATAAGAAGCACGGGTCGATTCAGTGGGATGAATTCATAAAGAAAATCACGCTCCTGGACGACGACAACCACGACGACCTGCTGGTGATCAAAGGCGAGAGTATCACGCACTACAAGCACCTGTACAACGAGCTGAGCAGGCTGGTGAGACAATTCGGCATACCAATGTCCCTACGCCCTAAGATATGGTCTGAGCTCTGCGGTGCAAAGTCGCTACGGAACCCTACAGAGTACTACACCCTGCTACACGATGAATCGCTTGTCAATGCCGAAGCTGAGTCGCAGATCGAGCTGGACTTGTACAGAACTATGCCCTACAACGTGTTCTTCAAGGACAATGGCCCTGGCTTGGATAAGCTACAGAACGTTCTGATTGCCTTCAGCCGGAAGTACCCGCACGTTGGCTACTGTCAAGGCATGAACTTCCTCGTAGGCAACCTGCTACTGGTCTATCATAACGATGAGGATGTATTCTGGACGTTTGTTGGGCTGTTTGAGAACGTTCTGCCCAATGGGTTCTTCAATCTGGCAAGCATCAAGAGCGACTTGAAGCTGGTGAAGCAGAACTTCAAGGAACAGCTTCCCAAGCTGAACTCGCATTTCAGGCTCTTCAACGTCGAACTTGAACCGATATGCTTCAACTGGATTATGTCACTGTTCACAGACTCTCTGAGTGCACATCTCGTGTTCAGGATATGGGACAGCCTCATGCTGAACGGGTACACGGAGATATACAAGACTGTTATTGCTCTGTTCAGGATATTTGAGGATAAGCTCATGCTGCTAAGGGAGAACGTTGCCATATACGAGTTCATGAAGAACCTGAATAAGAGCAACTTCAACTTGAGGAGCTCTGATCTGGTACGTATGAGTGCTACTGTTAGGATAAGTGAACAATGCTAGTGGAATAACAATTCCTATTTCGAGTGCTATCAATGAAGAATCTATTTCAGATCTGTAGGCGACTTGATGATGTTGTCCACGATGTAGTACTGGAAGCAGTTCAACATTATTGGGAATACGAGAACCACCAAGATGACCTGTAAATTGGGGAAAGGATCGCTCCAACTGAGGATCCAGTCCGCGTACATGATGAATATTGGGAATGACAGTAGCACATATATCACAGCCTTCATCATGGTCACCGCAACCATGAATATCACCAGCTGTTTCAAGTACCGTTTGAATCTCGGTGGGTTGCCGTACTCCCCACTGTTGATGCCCTGGACCTGGAATAGGTCACATATGAAGTACACAATCACCAGGCACACGTACAGGATGGGTACCCCCACTGTGGTGTCGAGCAGTAGACTGACAAAGTACCAATCACACTCGCCAGGTTCACCATCACCGTCGCCTTCTCCATCGAGCTTGTTCACCAGCATGAGCTTTCGGCTCTTGAGCAGTGACACTGCGAGGTTTAGCAGGTGAACGCCGGCAGCACCAAGGAGCTGCTTCGAAACGTCGAAGAACCACACTTCCCAGGGCCTCTTTGGATGCTCGTACTTCCTCTTCACGACCAGCGAACCGCAAGCAATGAGGCCTAAACAGCTCTGGACGATGAGCCCCACGGGCCCGAGCAGCTCACACTTCGGCTGCGGTATGATCTTCTTGCCGTTTGGTATTAGCTCTGCTGGTAGAATCATCTGCGACGTCGACTCGCCGTGGCTGTGCTATCGAATCACCCTGGAAATCTCCAATTTGGAGTAGAAATCTGGCTTTAAAAGTGTTGATGGTCGCTGTTTCTCTGTGAGGGAAGCAATGAGCTTTGGGAAGGAAGCTGTAACCCGGGCAGCGAAGAGCAAGCGGAGTAAGGTGGTGGTGTCCGGGTGTTGTGCTTATGTAATGGATTATGTAATCGTTGATGTTTCGATGTCACAGCTTATCGCGTGGATTACGTAATCCTACGCGGACCACGGCATACCAGGCCGAGCAGTGCGACGCCAGCTAAGTAAGGACGGTCTAGCAGCGCCAGATAAGTAGATGAGCTAAGTAAGAGCTAAGTAACAGCTAGCTGGGTCAGTTGAGTAAGATTAGCTAGGTAGATGAGCAATGTATCAGCTAGGAAGCTGAGCTAAGTATATGATTTAAATGGATCAGCTAATCAGTATCGACTGAGCAGTATCATCTGAGTCGATCAGCAGAGTAAGACCGGCTAAGTAGATCAGTTAAGTAGGAGCTAATAGATCAGCTATGTATCATCTAAGCAGATTGGTTAAGCAGTACTATCTAGGTAGATTAGCTCACTAATACCGGCTAAGTAGACCAGCTAGGTAGACTAGCCAATGAACAGCTCAGTAACTGCTAAGCACATCAGCTGAGTAATACCACCTGACTGAGAACTAAGTAACGGCTAGGCAAGCACAATCGAGTGCATCCCGCGTATTGCACAGATTAGATAGGTAAACAACTGCTCAATAGCAATGGCTACGCAGTATCGTTCCGGTAATGGCAGCTAACCAACAGTTGAGTACCAAT